CCCCAAAACCCCAAAACCCCAAAACCCCAATAATAATCTTTGATATTGGAAATATTGTTTTGAGGTGGGTTAGATTTGGTTAAGATTTTGTCATTTTCTTCTTTTTCTTATGTGGTTTCTTTGGAGGCTTTTTAACTATTATATAGGCACTGTAGAGCTCAGAAGGATTTTCAGGAGTACTGGGTTCTAGATCATGATCCTGTGGGAATGCTCTCTAGAAGTCAGACAAAGCCTTACAGATCCTTGGACAAAAGGGCTCTCAAGAGGTGAGATTGAGACATTTGGAGAGTCAGAAGCCTAAATAAAAGATTATGGTGCCATATTTGGAAGACGAGTTGGTACTTTTAGAGATTTGATAAACCTTGGTGGTAAATAAGGAAGATAGCATTTGGAAAGTATTAGAGGATGTGATATTATGAATATTTTTAGATAACATTCTCGTAAAACTAATAATATCTATCTTGTTAAAAAGATAGAGGGGATTTCCAGATTCTAAAATTAAATTTTGATATCCTAAAATGTAAATGAGGTTTTATGAATCACAAAGCCACCGAATCATTTAAGTATTCTTATAGTAGAAATATTGTCAAATTAACACCAATCACTACAATAACTTGAGTAATTTCTCTTTCTTAATATTTCTTACCAGTCTTTCTGGAGTCACAAACCTATCAGCAGTTTTTAAAGTGTCATCCTTCATCTCAAAATTCTCATGAATTCTAAAAATAGAAAGTTAGCATTTCAAGTTCAAAGCATAGGGTTGGCAGAATTCTTAATCTTCACATTTTGGATGGCAAAGCATAGAGTTTACTAATTATGTCATATATTTCTTACAAAGTCTATCTTATAGCTTCAGACCAAGCTATTACTCTACTGTAGGTAATATGCTGTATGAAATCCCCAAGATTTAGTCAAAGACAATGTTGAAAAGTACTCTTACTCATTATTTTTATGCAGAATTCTGGAGCTGTGATCTTCAGGAAACTTTCCTCTTTTAATCTTCCTCTTGGCCTTCCTCTTTCTGAGCTTCTTCTTCTTTTTAATAATTCCTAGAAAGTCAGAGCTGGAAAGTACTCTTTGGAGGTGTCCGCGGGGAATCAGGGATGGAGATCATCGACTTATTTACAACCTAAACGTTAATGAAATGAAGCACCCTCTGAGTAATGACTGCACTCAGTTTCCCCTTGGAAATTTCTGGGTTTGTTCAACTATAAAGGCTTGAGTAGAGTCTAAGTTGGGTTAGAGAGGATAACTTACTTTTTATGTCTGCAGAGAATCTTCCCAACGAATTTTGTTATCTACTGGTAATTTTAATGAAACTTACTGATTTAACTAAACTCGATCTGTCCTGGTGCTTTAAAAGTAGCAAGAATAACCACTCCATAATGAACTTTAGATTGAAACTAATCACTGATAAAAGTACAAAAATATTTAGTACTTCATTTTGCTTATCTTGTGAATAAATCAGAGCAGCTGTGATGGTTCACACTCCAGCCATCATAGCCAAGAACTCTATTTTAGAATGCTCACGATTCCTGTATGGTTTTAAATACAGTTGGACTCGAGCAGTTACAATAAGTATCATTAGAGATAGACTTATAGATACTGTTCTGTGGAATAACAGAGTCAGTAAAATTGCTATTTTTCTAAGAGTATTTACGAATTCCCAGTAAAATACTTCTGGTTTCAATCCTTGGTAAAGTATCAGAAAGTAACTTTTGATCTTTTCATGCCCAGTCTTTGCATGGCTAAGGTACAAGTAAACCATGGCTATTATGGGTCAAGTTATTCCCCATATGACCAGGATTGGGAGAGCTACAAGTAAGCTCGATTTCAAGTGTTCAGGTCCAAATCATTCAAGGTTTGTATCAATTTCAGCAACTCTGTATCCTTCATCTATCTCTATTCATTTAAGCATACTAATGCTCCTTTCTGTCAATTTTGGATGCAGTAGGAAAACAATGGTGATGAACGTTATAACAATATTCCTGGTGAAGTCTTTGACCCATTCTCTTTTAGTATAATACAGTATTCCCCAAATGGCTCCCAACAAGATGAACAGGATCAGAGGAAGGAACATCAGGAGAAACAGTTTGAAGATGGCAGTAGAATCAAATAGAAAGTTCATCTCAATGTCTTTAATAATACAGTCAAGCGATAAGAAGGCATCGCTTGATCCACCCAGCCACTTCACAGGAATTGAAATTGCTATCATAATTGATGGATACTCATTAGACATTGCAGTAGACACTGATATTAGTTGTAGATAGTTAGCAAGTATCCTTAGTAATACAGACAACTCACTTTCGCTAGTTCTCCTGACGTTGATTACCATCATAAATATATAGAAGCATATGACCAACAGAATAGTCCCGAATACTTGGAAAGAATTGAGGATCATATTTTGGCATTTTCTACATTCATAGTCATTAACTCTCTCATATTTTACATCTTCTGTGACAAGTCATTGAGCTCACAGATTTCCAGTATATCCTTCAGCTCATACAGCTGGGGAACTTCCATCTAGCTTATATTCTCCTTTTCATGAATCCTTGTTAATTCATTCCACTACTTTAGTTGAGTTATGGAACCTTCTCCAGTGGCCTGATCTCAAGTAAATTTCTGATCCTCCTAATCATTCAGCATCAATGTCTCATTTTGCTCAATCTGTTGAGTTGTAACTTAATGAATATGTTCCAGCTGCTCATACTTCTCACTTGTTGCCAAGAATCCTTTCTCCTGGCTGGCAATCTCTGAAGCTGGCTTCAAGCTTTTTCTGTTGGAAGCTACTTCCCAGAACTTGCTTTACTTTAGCAGAATCGATAGATTTAGAACTGATCAAAAAGTTAGAGCTTCTTAGTTCTTTATTGACTTCTAATGCAAGATTATCAAAGACAGCAACTCCTTGCTTGACTTGTGCAGCATTGGTTCCACTCACTGAAGATGTTGATGGGTCAGAGGGTAAAATAAGGATTTGGTTTTCGTCATCAAGAACCATAACTTGATCGTCTAAATCGATCAGTGCTAATTCAAGGTTTAGAGTTATTGTAATTCCTGATGCAATATTGTGAATAACTATTTGATCATCAATACTGCTATTGGCATAACCAATTCTTACTGGATAGCTTGCATAGTTGTTGCCATAAGGAGCTGAATTGCCAAGGAATAGAGTATCCTTAATTCCAGGAGGATTATAATTATATGAAATAGCTCCTCCTTGGACAGTGGCAGAGTTGTTCTCAAACCTAGATTTAGCAATTTTAAGTTGTCAAGAGCTGGTACTAGTGCATTCAAACATTATTGCTCCTCCTTCGGTCGCTGAGTTGTTAGTGAAAGTAGTATTTACAATTTTTAGCTTTGAATTGATCATTGAAATGACTCCACCTGGACTATTTGAGAAGTTCTCAGAGAACTCTGCATTTGCTAATTTCATGACTTGAGAGTTTATAAATTTAAATACTTGGCTCAGATTTGAGATCATAATGTTAGTTATAGCTAAAATTTCAGAGTCTTTAAAATAACAAAAGGTAGAGTTGATGCTTGTCAGATTAATGTCATTCAGTGTCACATTATAACTGTCCTGAATGTTCATGATCTCATTTTTAGTGGAATACGAGTCAATCACAGTGATTTCACTAAGATAGAACCATTTTCAAAGCTTTACTGAAATTAAGTAAGGAAATTGAGAGATATTTTGAAATTTAAGCTTGTTCATTTCAAGATGAGAGCTTAGTGAAATCATCATCTGAGAATTGGAATCACTGAAAGAAATATTTCTCATTATGATATTAGCAGAATTTGTGACAATGAAGCTCTCTTGATATGAGTTTGTATGAGCTCCCTTGATCTCAGTGTCCTCAATAGTGAATGCGGAATCAAGAATGTTGAATGGTGACATTGAATATTGTATATCAGTAATTATAGATCTCTCAATTCTCACTGTTGATAAGAATGATTTCAAAATCAAATCTTCATCATGAATGTGGGTAGAATTAAGAATGTTCAAACTGCCTTGTAACACTTGGAATAGGTACTTTTGCTCGAAAGTTGCTGTTAAATTTTTGGTAGTGAGATATGTCTTCATTTCTTGATGAAGAAATCATAAATTTGATCAGCTGGCTGAAATTTCAGTTAAAATACTGGATCTATTTATCAGCTTATTCTCATATATTTCAGTGTTTATAATATTAGATGATTCCACACTCGTAAATACGCTTCCTACAGGATTTTGGATAGCATAATTCCTGAACACTTTGCTGTTCTTTATGTTGAACACTCCAAAAGAAGCAGCTTCGAGCACCCCATTTGCAATTGCAAAATTGTCGAAAATATGTCAACCATCAAGAGTAATGACAGCTTCTGATGTCACTTTAACGATTGATGCTGTTACCGCAGAGTTCTTTGTAAAGTTAGAGTCTATCACATGGACTTTTGCTTTATCTTGAATCCTCATGATGCCAGAGATAAATGTTGTCAAGGTTAAGTTCGTAAACAAACTTTTAGCTAATACAACTTCAGCTTTTCGCTGAGCAACAATAAAGGCATTTACAGAGGAAGTGATATTTGTGAATGAACAGTTATTCATAGAGAATAAGGTGCTAAGACCTTCAGCTTTATTTGCTTCCCTCAATGCTGATCAGTCCCGAAGTAATGTTATTGAATGTAGAGTTTTTCAAAGTGGCATTAGTGGGAAGTTGATGCATGACTTCAAGTAAAGTTCCAGAGCTAGTGAACTCAATGTTTTCAAATGTCAGTTCAGACATATTTATTGAAAGATTAGTGTGTATTGAAACTCCCTTGGTTGAAATCAGCACTCTCTTTGTGCTAATTGTACTGTTCATATATTGAATAGATTTGATGGTGAACAACCTTGGCCCATCTGTAGCATTTACAAAAGTATTAATCTTGAACAAGGAAACAGAAGAGTTTTGTATATTAATATCTTTTATCTCTGATGAGCTCATCTTTCCAATGTTTAATGCTGGAATGTTTAAAATTCTGGAGTCACTATCTAAAGCTTCCACCGAACTTGTATTTTTAAATGTCAGATTGGACAAAGAAAATGTAGTGGCAATTTGAAGGTTGAACAAAGAATTCTCTCTTGCAAACTTTACATCTGTTAGGATAGAGTCTTGAATGGATACTTTTCCAGCTCCAGCCCGTATATCTCAGAAAGGTACATTGTAGAGCTCTACTGAGTTCATGAAAATCCTTTGAATTATGATATTAGTCAAAGGGCCTGGAGTTATTTCAATTGCAGGAGATTGGCTGCCACCCGCATTTGTATAATTCTTCAAATACATTCCATTAATATGTACATCTCCAGGTGATATAATGCTTAATATTTTGGTTCTCAAATTAATATTTTCTTCAAGATGAAAGTCATCTACTAAGAGACTTTTGAAGTTAATTGCTTCTACTAAATGAGGTATTTTAGTGATGTTTGTGAACACAAAGTTAGAAAGATGCAACCTCTCAGAGCCAGTCAACCAAAAGTAATACAGACCCATAATTGATGCATAGTCCAAATTGGAGATAAACTGGTTCTTCAATACAATATCTATTTGTCTGTAGGGTATAGCTTCGCTGATGAAAGCAGGAACATAAACAAACTCATTTGCCCTTTTCACTGACTTTCCATCATGCATATGATTATCAAGTAGCATAGTGTATCCTAGATTATCAGGAGGATTACAAACAGGTAATATCCCAGTAATTATACAAGCAGACATTGTTGCCTGTAATGTAGAAGCTTTACTACAATCTATATTTGAGAGAGTATTGTTTCCAGGATTACTTATCACAATCATTATTCCTTGATTATAGATGCCAAAAGATTTGTCATAGACAATATTGTTAGCATAGAACTTGTTTCTAACTGCAGCTTCTGGGTAATTTCAATTGACATCTGAATACTCAATAAAGTAAAACTGAGACATCTCCACAGTCAGGTTTTCAAGATGCATATTAAGTGGATCTAAAGGTTTGATCCCAAGCCCAGTGCTGTTGATGTACATGTTTTCTATAGATATTTTGTTAAGTATGGTATCAAATTGATAAGCATGTTGAACAAAATCATTTCTAATCCTTCAAAATTATTAGCCTAAGAGACTTAAACAACTCGAAAAGGGAATTAGTTGGGCTGTCCTCTAACTTTTCTGTTCAAATTTTAGGTCAGATTGGATTTTAAGGACATCACTTAAATGTCATATTTTTATTTCAAATTTAATAAAAATTTTCTTCCAAAATCTTCATAACAAAATGATTCAAAAGGCGGCACTAAAGCACTCCTGAGTCATCTCTAATAAAAAGCCGTAGCTATTTCCACCCAAAGCAGTTGTCTTAAATAATTGTAGCTTCCACTACCTTCTTATGTCAACTAAAATGCTATTTTCTATTCTTCATATGTACCATTCCCCAATCCGAGTTTTGAATTATTTCTTTCAAGAAATAATAGAATAACTAATTTCTTCATAATCTGTTATGGAAGTCACCTCGTGTTTAATTTTTGAGTGCTTTAACTGCAAAACCACTCCTTTACTTTTTGTAGACTATGAACAACTAAGACAAATTTTGGGATGAGAATAGAGTTAGGAAGAGGACATTTAGACTCTCAAATGGCAATGCAAGCTAGATGAATTTATAAGCCTCTGAAGGCCTCGACAAGATAGGTCTTGAGCATTAAAGAAATTTAAAATTCTTAAATAAATTACAGAGTTTTAATAGTTTGAATTTCTTCAATTGGATACTTTAAAAAATTTCTATTAAGAGTGTTTCGTGATAGTATTTGGTGTGAAGAGTCTCAAAAAATGCTAAATTTCTTGGAAGTAAGCCTCCGAGCCTAAGTCGAGCATACAATGTGTAATTTGGTAGAGGCCATCTAGAAGAGAAATAGAAATAAACTATTTAATACCTGTCGGAGATCATTTTGTAGCAAATTTTAGCAACCTAAAAGCTGATATGAAAATTATCTCTAGTCTAGATAATCAAGACACATAGTAGAAGAAGCATCCAAGAGGCTTAGAAGCTTTTTATCTTTATCTAACTCTTTGGAGACTTTTGAGAACAAAAATTTCAGTTAATATAAATACTCATTAACTGTAGTAACTATTAAAAATCCCAGAATTGTGATAATATAACAGCACATAAGGTATGTTGGTGGCCAAATCTGAAGAGCATGATAGGACTAGTTTTTATTAAATTCTATTTAAATTCCAACACTATTGATTATTATGCTCAATTGATTCAAAATTAATAAGTGTTGTTAAATGATTAGCATCAAAAACGGAATGTTTGCTACACAAAAGCAACTTTTGGAGTATTTTTTATGGCCGATTTTAAAAAATCTTTCGTTTCTTAATATCAATAAGCTTGACAGTCATTCTTATGTAACAGGAAGTTATGGAGCTCACAAAAATTATTCTGGGATGAAAGATTATATTGAGTAAATTTTTAAGAAATTTAGAGTTATTTTTAATATCAAAATTACTTATCTGAAAAATTGTACTTAAGAACATTTAAAAATAATGAGTGGCTTTTAGCTTGATGACTTACCTAACCGAACTTCTTTATCCTGGAGGTTCAGTGGAATGATAGTATACTTTGCCTCATTGCTATAAAATGATAAGAAGATTGCTCATCTACTGTTTATATAGAATAATAAGTCTACTAATCTCAAATGCGAATATAAACCTTTGCTTACTAGTTCCAGAGGTCTATTCCATTCATTTCAAAATTGGTTGATGTTACTATAAGTTATTCACAAATTTTACTCATGAATCCTGTTTCCTCCCAGTACACAAACTGTCCATCCAGGTATTGATAGCCATCTAAGTTCCTCCTGCCCGATGGAGAGTTATCTGTAGACTTCAGCAGGTGATATCTGGCCTTCTTAGAGATGCCTTCTTGAACCTCAGAAGTAAGGCATAATAAGGCTCTCTTATGTGCTATTTGGTAATCAGGGTGATTAAAGATCCTAACAGATGACATATTGTAAGCAAAGAATGTGTCAGTCTCAACATAAACCTCCTTAATGTAAATGGATATGTTTATATTTGTGTTACTATAATGATTTATAATCTCAGCAGAAGCTGATTTCATTGTTCTATATGGATAAGCTCTAGTTCCTAATTCAAGAATTTCCTGGCTGAGATGGTCAATAAAAATTTCAGGATTCTTTCAAACATTTTTATGGTTTAGATGTTCTGACTTTAGCTCAATTTTGTTAGGATCTCAAATTTTTAATCAGCTTAGTGTTTCCAAATCTAAGAATTGCTCTTCAGAGCAACCTAATCAACTTGGTTGATGAATACAATCGTAAGCTCATGAGTCTCCACAAGGTTTGCAAGATATGGAGACTCTATCAAAATACTGGCCTTCATCTCAGTATTTACACATATTAGTGTCTTGGCTTATAAACATATACTCCTCTCATGTATCTCAGGAGTCAGAATTACTTCAGGTTTTGCAGGAACTATCACATGGGATTCATTTCAGTTGATCTTTATAAAACCCATCCATTCATTCAGATGGGTAGTTGGCATATCAGAAATCAGCCATTGTGAGCAAAATAAGTACTATTAAACTCCCTACTTTCTCTTTGACTCTTCTTATTCTGTAGTCTACCATTGTAGAACCTCTAGATTTGGGTTAAGTCAGCTTTTAGAACAAAATATATGACTCATAATACCCAAAACCCATTAAAAGCTTTGTTATCTGGACATCTTACCTCTTAAATGAATATTAATATTAATTTTAATTGGAATATCATCACGGGGTTTTGGGGTTTTGGGGTTTTGGGGTTTTGGGG